CGCTTCCCCTCCCCACGCGGGTGGGACCTGATGGGTGCTGGGGCGCTGAACTCGCCGGCTGGGGACCCCCTGGGTCTGAAGGTGGCAGGGGGTGACAGGGAGGGGGGCAGAGTGATGAACCCCAGCCAGCAGTGCCCGGGTGGGGATTTACTAGTCACATTCCAGTGGGGTAGCTCAGGAGATTTTTATTTTTTTTTACAAATGCCGTGTAGTCTGAGTCATGTTAGCCAAGCCGAGACACCAGCGTTTTGTCACCCACTGGCGTGCTGCCTGTTCAGTGTAGAGCTCGGCCACTGGCCTTGAGTATTTGTGTGTGTGTGTTTGTCTGGAGCTGCTCGCCAAGGTGCTGTGTGTACATCGGTTCAGAAATGGGGTTTGACCACAGAGCAAAAAAAAAAAAAATTCCTGCTTCCCAGCTTCTCTGTACTGTAAAGCTTGGGTATCAAATTGTGGAGGAATGCTTCTCCCACCCGCCTAGCTCCCACCTCTGACCTACAGGTGTGTGCCCAGCCTGAGCCCAGACAGTTCTCGTGCTTATCTTCCTCACTCACCCTCACTCTCTCAAAAATACCCTAATTTTGAGTATAGCTGGAGGGCCCACAATCAGTCAGGTGTGCCGTGCAGGTGATACCCACGGCTGTGTGGCTCAGAGAGCAGCACCAGAGCCTCCTCTAGAGCTGCTTCTGAGTGAGAGCTCTTGGAGAGGGAAGGGGAGCACCCTACTTGTGTGCAAGCAGCTTTCAGATAACAAGCTGTTGCTGTATCTCTCCAGGATCCGTGTGCTTTTTGCCTCTCAGACAAGGGCCTTGCTGACTCCCAGTCAAAACCACTGCGACGCTGCTGGCTCGTACTGGTGCTTGCAGCAGGCTGCTGTGGGGAAAACACAATCTGTCCTCTCTGCACAGTGTAACTCATGACTGAGAGCTGGGGAGGTTGGAAAGGATTGTTGCTTCTCAGACAAAGCAAAAAATAACAGTTTGATTTTTTTTTTTTTTAATTTTCAGATCTTATCTCAACTGTCAAAATGGAACTAGACATCCAGTGTGAAGAGATGAGCCCATCTAGATGGGCTGAACTTCTGTCCACCATGAAATCCTGCAAGTCCATCAGGTAGTAAGTAGTTGTGTATCATCTCTTCTAAGTAAGAACTGTTGTGTTTCTCTCCTTTATTTTTCAGCTGCAGAACTGTTGACCTGTGACTTAGAAATTGCACAGTAACAGGAATGATTCTGCCTATTTTTATTCAGAAAGTTAATTTAAAGGGGGGAAAAAAACCCCCACCCTCTTGCAAAGTTTTTTTCAACTACAGGTAAGCATCCCTTGGTGTGAAGTAATGCCGCCCTTGCTCTGTGGCGTGCCGTAGAACTCAGCTAGGTAATACGGTTATCGAAACATTTGCCCGCCGTTTTGGTAATTCTGTCGTTCTCTTTCTCCCTCGAGGGAAGACATCTCTCCGTGCTCATTAGGTCGCAGACTCTCTGGGCTGCAGGGCAGATGCTGTCAAGTAACCATTACTTAATAGTCACGCACAAACCGCATGCCGTCGGCTTTTAATTCTTCACTTGGCCCTCAAAAGTACCTGCCTTGTGCGGTGAGCGGACCGGTGTGAGAGGAACATGTCCAGGAGTGTCAGCTGTAGGACAGGGTTCAGAAGAGTTGCTTCTGCACTCTTCTGCCTCTTCTTCTTGGGACTTCACCCCCCCGCAGGCTGGCATCGTCCTGCTGCGGCTGGAGAGGATGGGCCACATCCAGCCAGGGATGGCTTGGAGGAGGTCCGGCAGGTTGCAGGTGACTTTTGCAAAGGAGCTTTTCTGCAGGCAAGCTTCATGGGTCTGACCTTGACTCCCCGTTGTCTGCCAGGGTGGCAGGAGGCACGGGGATGATTGTCTCCTGGGCAGGGGCTGGACGGCTCCAGAATGAGAGCAGCTGTGGCAGGGGTTGTGAATCGGTGTTGAACACGGTTCTGCTGGGACCCAAGGCTTCTTGCCAGAGGGAGGGAAGGAGAAGCCTACTAGAGCCTTGGTTTCCATAGTGTTGTCTAAGGAGAAATGACAAGGCAACTTCTGGCAGTCCTGGCTGTGGCTGTGCCTGGAGGGTTCTTCATGACACTGTCCTTTTGCCCCGAGTCTTTTCTGTCTCCTTGTACACCTCCCTGCCTGTCTTGGGCTCCTGATCCTTTCCTTGGCTCTTCTTCCGATTCAGCCCCCTCCCATCAATTTAGCAGAACTAGAAAAATGCTGATCTCCTGTGGGAGAAGCCACTGCCACGCTGCAGACTTGCAGTTTGCGTACTGAGAGTCGTGCTGGAGAGAGACTGTGCAGACCAGCGTGACTCACCTACGCGAGACCAAACTGCTGGTGGTTGTCGCTGGGGCTGGCTGAAGACCTAGCTGGGCTGGTCCCAGTGCAGAACCAGTCTGACAGCCTGTAGGCTGGCCCGGGGTTAGACATGGCTTCAGACAGCCGGTAGTTTGTGGCTAGCAGTGTTTCAGTGAAGGCGCATCCTGCAGCTGAAGCCCGGCCTGGGGGGGATGACTTCAGCCACGTCCCCTCTTCTGTGCAGCACGGAGGAGGTCCATGGCTTAGGGTCCGTCCAGCCCCTCCTGTGCTGTCATCCTGCAGAGAGAGCACGTCTTGGTTTGGGCCATGCCTTGCCCAGCAGCCCACGCACATACTGACGGAGGCATCCCAGGGACTGCAGAGAGTAAATCACCCGCTGTGCTTCCATGGGGAATGCACCAGCCGGGGAGAACAGAGCAGCCCAGCCCAGGGGACTAAAGTGCTCCTTCTCTCCTCCTGTTTCAGGCTGGATGACTGCAACCTTTCCAGCAGTAACTGTGAGGATCTCTCCTCCATCATCAACACGAACCCGTCTCTCACAGAGCTGAAGCTGAACAACAACGAGCTGGGAGACGCAGGCATTGAACACCTGTGTAAAGGGTTGCTGATGCCGAGCTGCAGCCTGCAGAAGTTATGGTAAAGCCCCGCTGATTGTCCTGCTCTAACGTGCTTGCGGTCCGCTGCAGCTGGAGTCGTGTGGCAAGCGCGTACGTGGTGGTAGTAAGAGCCATGCTGGTGCATCTCAGCAATTACTGGGGTCAGATGGTTGGAAAACCCCAGAAGTTCTTATCTAATGGTGTATTTATTGGAAGACTCCAGATCATCCGTCTGGCTTCCTTTGTCTCCCAGCACTGAGGGAAGGACAGGTTGGTTTTCCCCTGCCAAGTGAAGTCTTTCTGGAGGCTTTCATTAGAAGAGGTAGCCAGTCTGCCTCCAGCCTAGGTTTGAACAAAAGGATGACTACAGAAGGCGCCGCTCTGCCATTGGCACCTACCTGACATTTTCACAAATCCCTTTGTCAGAGAGCTCTTCATTTAGCCTCTGGTCCCGTTTGCTGTCTCCTTTCTCTAGGATCCAAGCAAAACTGGTGCTGGTGTCCTCCAGCTCCTGGGGTGGATCTTCATGATACTACCTTGTAAAAATAATTTGCCTTTTAGATGGGATGCATCTGCTCCAGAGTCCCTGTGCCCCCCGCAGGGAGGACTCACTGATGAACAGAGGGCGGGCTGGCTGTGGAGCTGATGAAACCACAGCCTTCTGATGGGCCTTCAAGAAATAACCGTGACGCTCTGTACTGGCAGACTAACGCGAGTCGCTTTTCAGAGAGTTTGTCCTAAGCTTCAAACTTCTCCAGATGCTCAAGGGGCAGCCTGGATTAGGCTGTCAGTTCTGTAGAAACATAATTATCCGGTTTTGGGGTTCTGGTAAGGTGCCTTAGAGAATAAAAGAGCAACCAAACCCAAGCCAAACTTAGTACCACCACGCACAACAGCTCTCCATTGCCAGAAGGGCTTGTCCAACAACTCTAAACACTCCATAGAAATACCAGAATGGTTCTTACGCTGGTTCTCCCAGCCTGAGTGCTGAAGGGTGAGCTTCATAGGTCCTCCCTGTAGCATACCATTGAACTTCTAAATGATATCCAGGGACTGAAGCCGAGTTGGATGAGATTTTTACTTTTAGCTAGTGTGGATCATAAAATGCCATTGCTTTATCTCTGGGCTAAGCCTCATGAGGATTAGAACACTTCTGTAAGGCAGGTGTGGTGCTGCCTAAGGTAGGGTGAATCCTTCTGCTAGAGGTGCTGTGTGAACGACACGGGAGGAAGCATGGGAGCTATTGCTCATGCTGCAGGTATAATGCTAGCTGATAAAATATTTTGGCACACCTGTAAAGTAGCGGTACCAACCTGGTCGTACCGCTTTCTAGAGGGTTACTCACTGGCAGTGCCACAGTGTCCTTTCCAAGCTCAAACCTCAGCACATGCACCTCTTTGAGAAGAGCCTTTGTAATTCTGGAGGTGGATTTCCCTCACCCCAGTTGCCTCTCTCCTTCAGGCTCCAAAACTGCAGTCTGACGAGTGCCAGCTGTGAGACCCTCCGCTCCATCCTCAGCGCACAGCCGTCCCTGACGGAGCTGCACGTAGGCGATAACAAACTGGGAACTGCTGGGGTGAAGGTGCTGTGTCAAGGGATGATGAACCCCAACTGTAAGCTGCAGAAGCTGCAGTAAGTACTCACTGGGGTTTTTTTTGGTCATCAGACAGGTCATGCTTGTCTTTCCCTTGAGACAAGCAGGAGTTTTGTCGCTAGCTGTGGATTTCTTCCTGTTTTATGTGAACTTGTGTCATGCTGGTAGGTCTCGTGGGTTTGTACAAGCCGGGTGTCTGCCCTCCTGGGGCTGTTAGTGCAGGGGGCTGTTGATGCAGCTCCTGCCAGATGCCCAGGGAAGGTCTGGTTCTGCTGCAGCTGGTCCTTGTTTTATGGCTGAGCGGGACACAGGTCTGTTTGCAGCCCCCAGCTCCTCCCGGGAAGGCTCGGCGGCACGGCTGTGAGATGTGCTGCAATGCAAAACGCAGCCGTGTGTTCCAAGGCAGCCTGTGCCTTGGGTTTCATGGAGGGCTAGTGGAAAAATAGGGTGGGTAGTTAGTCTTTCTAGGGTCTCCTGGGATCTAGTTTAAGAATTAACACTTCCTGAAATGAGCAGGGAGATGCTATTAAAAACTTAAGCTTATCTCTTATTTTCCCGTGTTGCCTGGTCTCAGCTCGCATCGGCGTGTTTGCTGCCCTGGCTGACACACACTTTGCCCAGCTGATGGCTTGTGGGCAGCAGGACGTGGCGAAGACGGTTAGTTTTCCCCTGGACTTCTTTTCTTCTTGCAGGCTGGAGTACTGCGAACTCACAGCTGATATTGTGGAAGCTCTCAACGCCGCCCTGCAAAGCAAGCCCACCCTGAAGGAGCTCAGCCTGAGCAACAACACGCTGGGAGATACAGCTGTAAGGCAGCTGTGCCGGGGACTGGCGGAGGCAAGCTGCAACCTCGAGTTACTACAGTAAGAAAGAACTGGTCATCTCTAACTACAACTAGTCCTGCTGCTAGTCGTGCCATCCATAAGACAAGAAAAACTACTGAGAGGGATACTTGAAATTTACACCAGATTTTTTGCTGGCTCAGATTTCTGTAACTGGAAACTGTAAGGAAATGTCTGGGGCTTTCACTTCTGGGTTTTTTTGACCTTTTTTTTTAGCATGTGGTTCTGAGCTCACTCTTATACCTGTTGGTATGGTGTAAGCGTGTACCCCAGGTTACACCTGCAATGACAAGGGATGGCTGCTTGCCAGGATCTGAGAGCAATCACCCTCGGTGGCTCCAGTTCTTGCCCCTGAATTACCAGCCAGTTGAGTATTTTTATTCAGACCTCTTTTTTGCTTCGAAACAGGGATGCTGGATTTGGCCTTCTATCTGGGGTAAGGCCCCTGGAGGGGTTTAGGAGAGAAATGTGATTCACTTTATCTTGCCCCTGTGCTTCAGCAGGGGGTGGCTGCCAGGGACTCACTGTATGCTACAGCCAAAATTCCCTCATGAAAAGCACAGTAGCTATAAAGGGGGAGTTTGGCAAAAGCAATCCATGCATTAATGTGTGTGAGTGGGTGGGTCAGAGTACCAGCGCCCTGCAGCCTTGTGGCCTGCGGAAGAGGAGTGTTGCCTCCCTCAGAGCCTGTCTCCTTTGAGTGTACGTGCATCTGACGTACCTGTGTCACCTCTGAGCCTTGCAGGCTCTAGCAACGCCCGGCGGCGCTGCACGGGTTTGCAGCAAGGAACTGCCCCATGGCCCCTCGTGGCCCCCTGAGCTGGGGGTGCTGGGGTGTATCTAACACAGCGGGTCTGGAGCAGCAACTCCAGCCGTGCTTTCTTCTGCAGCCTGGAGAACTGCGGCATAACCAGTGAGAGCTGCCGGGAGATCAGCGCTGTGCTCAGTAACAAGGCGTCGCTGCTAGATCTCTCCGTGGGGGATAACAAGATCGGGGACTCCGGCCTGGCTCTGCTGTGCCAAGGACTGATGCATCCCAACTGCAAGATTCAGAAGCTCTGGTAAGGGCAGGCAGAGGTTAAATCCCTCCGGCAGCCTCGCAGCTGTCTGCGCTGCTGGTTTGCTCCTAAGCAAAAAGTTCCTCGCTTCCCCCACCCTGCAAATCAGTTCTCAAACCTGGGCGGAGGACACCAGGAGCTGGGCTGCACTGAGATCGCCTGGATCAAATTCTGGGGAGAGGGTGAATGGGAATTTGTGACGGCATTGTCTTGGCTTCCTGTTGGGTTATCTGTCTACTAGAACTGCATGTTGCTGTTCCTTCCTTGTGTTACAAACAGAGCTTTTTGTGCAGCACATGGGAAGTGAGGAGAAGGCTGGGTGGTATGAACTGTAGATGGGTTTTGTAAAGGATAGAAGAAAATGAGGTGATGTAACCAGAAAATCAGAATACTAAAAGAGGACTCTGTTTTCTAATCTAAGTCATTCTTGGGGGAAAATCATAATTTGTTCCTCCCTGCAGGTTGTGGGACTGTGATCTCACGAGTGCTAGCTGTAAAGATCTCTCCAGGCTCATCAGCACGAAGGAGACCCTCGCAGAGATCAGTCTGATAGACAATAACCTGAGAGACTCGGGGATGGAAATGCTGTGTCAGGCCCTCAAGGATCCCAGATCTAAACTCCAGGAGCTATGGTGAGCTGCTGTCAGGCTTCACAGACCCCCTGCCTTCTGTGGCCACCTCACTGAAGAACAAGTAGGGGAAGTAGTGCCCAGCAGATCGATCCTCCGTTGCGACGGCTCCGTGAACAGCTCGTGCCAGTTGGTACCTGAAGGATTTAGACTGACAGAGCTAAAGGGATTTGTATTTCTAAACTCGCAGACGCTTTGCAGATCTGCCCTATAGTCATCCCGTTATAAGCAACAGGAGACCAAGCACCACTTGCAGAACTTCTGTCTAATATATTTTATTGTGCAACAAATGGCAGCTCGGAGAGCTAAGAGACTTGTGAGGTTTGGAAGGGCTCATGTAATAGCAAAGTGAGCGCTATGGTCGGAGATCTCAGGATCTTCCCTGGATCCAAGCCCTCTCACCGAGTAGCCAAAAGAAGGCCCTAATGGCATGAACCTTCCCCAGCAGCCTCTCTGCTGACAGTGTTTTCTTTTAGGCTGGGACGGGCTGGTGTCACCTGGCCGGGAGAGGACAGTTGTTCTTTCACACAGAACTTGAACAAACAGCACTTGAACTTTCCCATGTTGTGAGTTCAGCTCCTGCCCCGGCTGGGTCCTTCCCCTGCGCTGGTGGCCTGGGAGGTGACGAGGTGCCTCAGGAGGGCACAGGGGAGCTCAGAGTGGCTGTGACAGCAACACGCTTCACCTCTGGTTATTCCTGGGCTTTACGAGGTGCATGCTCCGAGACAGGCATCCCGAGTACAATATACAGAGTGGGACAGGGGGTGCTTGGGAAGGATTGAGCAGGCGGGGGGTGGAGAGGAGCACAGTGACTGTGGGAAGGCTTTGTTTCCTCTCTTCCTGCTGTTGGGGCTCCTGGAAAGCACGTGTGAAGCAGTGAACAGAGCCTGGTCCTCTCTGAATCCCCCACGGAGATCTCCTGTTGCTTTTGCCTTGCAGGGTGCGGGAGTGCGGGCTCACCACCGCTTGCTGCAAGGCCGTCAGCTCCGCGCTCAGCGTGAACAAGCACCTCAAAGTGCTGCACATGGGCGAGAACAAGTTGGGAGATGCGGGTGTTGAACTCATGTGCGAAGGGCTGCTGCACCCCAACTGCAACATCCAGTCCCTGTGGTAAGGTGCACCCTCCAAAGCCATCTGCTCCCTTGCTGTCCCCTCCCAGGAACAGTGTGCAGAGAGAGGAAGAGAGCGATAGAGGGTAGCGTGGGGGTTTTTTTTGCTCACATGAAACAGTTCACACCTGATGTTTCACACCTGAAAGAATTCCCAAACTGATGTTTAGCTGGTCCACTAGCAAGGAAATGGAAGCCACAAGTGCTTCCGTGTATCTTGTCGCTCCTGCTCTGCTGCAGGCGCAGGCTGTCACCCATGCAGCGGTGCGTTCCTGGCCACCCGCGGCCGTGCTCCCAGGTGCAGGACTGAAAGTTCACAGTGCAGTATGTCTTCAGGATCTAAAGCAGCGCGTAGGGAGGCTGGAGGAGTCTTGCATGGTTCTGCAAGCAGCTCAATGCCGAGCTTCCTGTGCCCTTCTCTGAACTCTCCCATGGACCTATCTCAGGTCAGGCACTGATGGAGGAACTGCTGGTCCAGGTCTGGCGCGTCCATTCCCGTGCCTGCCGGTCGCAGTGCAAAGCCTGCCTGCATGCACCAGTTGCCTCCTGCTTTCCATAGTCTCCGTGGGTGCCGGTGCAGGCGCTGGTCCAGCCTCCCTAGCAGGAGCAGAGGCCAGCTGGAGCATCGCCTCCAGCCCTGTGGTGGGACTGACCTTCCCCATCAGCCTGTTCCCCTCCCAGGTGGGCACCCAGCTCTGCACTGGTGTGGCTGTGGCCTGGTGATGCTCGGGGCGCTGTGCTTGTCTCCTCCACGCCACTTGACACAAGCCGGAGCTCTGCTCCGGTGCCCAAGACTGGCAGTGAGTGAATTGAGCAGATGAGTTGTGGGAGACACCAGTAAGACTGGAAGTCTCTGCCCAGAAAGATGTTTGCTGACCACGTAAACCTACTTGCTTCTTAGCTGAGAGGCCTCAGTTGCCCTTTTTAGAAAGATAGTTGCAAGTCTTAGGTAATAAACTTTAGACATTATTTCCGATCAGTTTAAACCAAAGAGAAGATGATGCTGAAGTTGGGAATATCTTCTGAGGGTTCCTGCTCCCCCTGTAGCCTCACACTCTTAAGCTCTAGGGAGGGCTTTGGGCTGTTCTGCAGTCACCGTGAGCACAGTGGGAAGACCACGGACCAGCCCCTGCTGATGTCTCAGATGCCAGCCTAACGAGGATCTCTGGTCCGCGCTGGGGATGTCCGTGCCAGCTGCCCCAGCGTGGGCGGGTGGGCTGGGCTCTGGAGCCCCCACTCACTGCACTGGGCTCTCCATCCTCTCCCTGCAGGCTGGGGAACTGCGATCTGACGGCAGCCTGCTGTGCCACCCTGGCCACCGTCATGGCCACCAAGCAGTGCCTTACCGAGCTGGACCTGAGCTACAACTCCCTGGACGACGAAGGCGTCAGGAGGATCTGCGAAGCCTTGAGGAATCCCAGCTGCAACGTGCAGCAGTTAATGTGAGAGATGTTTGTGGTCCTGCTGGTGTTCCCCGGGCAGGGGGTGAGCTCTGCGGGGAGGGGGCCGCCAGCACCGGCTCTCTGGGTGTTGCACCCGAGGGCAGTTGGCGAGCTGGGGGGCCAAACACCACCTGCACGGTGCAAAACATGCCTTGTCCCTTCCGAGTGATGTGACCACAGTGCCTCAATCTGCCTCGGTCCATAGGGCACAGGAACACGGTGAGGGTGGTGCTGGGGGGCAGCGGTAGGGTCCTGTGTTGTAGGGTGTGTTTCTGGCTGGTGGGCCAGACCTCCAGCCTGGATGGAGCCCTTCGTGTTACGTGGTCTTCCCGTACCGGTGGTTTGTGTGTCTTGACAGGAGGATGCTCACTAAACCAGCTTGCCTTTCTGTTTGGGTGTAGTTTGTATGACATTTTCTGGAGTTCTGAAGTGGATGATGAACTGAGAGCCCTGGAAGAGTCCAAGCCTGAAGTGAAGATCATTTCATGAGAGGTGACTGCCTGCAGAGCAACGGCAAAGCAACGTCCTCTTCTTAGTCTGAACTTTTTCATAGATCAAGCTAATTAACTTAATAGAGAATGTGCTTGTACCAAAAACGTTTATGGATTCCCTGAGCGCGTGTCTGGGGAGCTGATCAACCTTCTGTGCATCTCTGGATGTGCTAACTCTGAGGCTCATGAAAGCGTTGTACATTTTCGCTGCAGCATTACTATCCTTGAAATAAACAATTATTTGGTATCTTCTAGAAGTGAGTCCCTACCCTTCAGGAGCTCTTTAATCCTATAATCCCTTCTAACGCATTAGTCAGAGCTCATTTCCAAAGGCAGGAGGAGAACTACCTTCTGCATTGTTACTGGGTGGTGCTTTTGCCAGCTCTCTGGAGAAGGCTCTCCGAAAACCAGATGGTTTTTAATCTAAAATGGAGCTCTCCCCTGCCTTTCCCTAGAAGAGTTCTTGGAAAAGCAGTGGGGGCCAAGGCACTAGAGAAGAAAGAAATGAGCAGCTGTTCAGCTGAGTAACTTCAAAATTGGTGTCCCCTGAAAAGTGATTTTCCTACCAACAGAAGATGCTGTGTGCATTTCTGCTAGTACAGGAGATGACGGAGTGGTTTGATAGGTTTGCTCTGGCAAGAGTGGTTCTACAGGAACTTCAGTGAAAATCTGTGTGCAAATAATGAAATCCTTCATTTTTCTACTTATAAAAAGAAAAATAATATATATCTGTATATTTCTCCATCACTTCTGAAATACAATACTACTACTACCACCTTGTTTTACATGTTTGCTTTTGGTGAGTTCCTGGCTGAAGCATGCCAGGAGAAGATCTTAGCCAAGGCCTTAGGAGCACAGCAAGCCTAGAAAGACCTTCCCCTGGGTTCAGAGGATGGTGACTGGGTTTTCTTGCCCAGTCAGAGTTTTAATAAACTTTGTTCCAAGGGAGAATGCAGCTGTTGCACACGTAAACCAAAAAGAACGGATGGAGCTTTAGAAATGTCAGTGATAAACCTGGCATTGCCCTGGGGTGATGTTGGAGGAGGAATGCCAAAAAAAATCCCATTCCCCAACCTCCCTCTTCCTAGAGCCACCACTTGGTGTTTCACTCAATTGCAGATCCTGCCTGGTGCCCAGGTTAAAGGTGTCCTCCAGGTTTTGGCTTGCGATGCTCACACGTTCATCCCGTAGCGGCTGTAACTGGCTTTTCTTTGACTTAGGGAAAGCTTTGACCTAAGCATCGGTTCTAAGGTAGCTTCACAAATCTCAAATCATGCCTGAGGTGTAGCTTACTGCTGTCTTCAGGCAGATGTGAAGGATTTGGTTTTTTTCCTCAACACATGTCTCCAGGCTGCCCAAAATGCTAAAAAACCCACTCCTTTTTGCTTCAAGAGCTGTTCGGTCTTCTCCATCAAGGGCAGAAGAAGTTCTTGTGTTTAGAAACCTGCCCACCCTGAGGGATTCTTAAACAGGCTTTTCACCTTCGTGGTCTCTCCGGGACTCGGTGTGCATGGGCTCATTTCAGACCGGGGGAGAAGATAGTGCTGAAGAGGGGCAGGAGCACGTGTAGGGGAGCCACAAAAACCAGGCATCCAGCCGGGTGTAAAGATGGCACTCTGTAACGATTAAGCAAGTATTAGAAGTGGATTTCTGAGAGTACCTGGTGTGGTGGGTAGAAGAGAATGTTTGGGAGGGAAGGGGGGGGGTGCTCCTGGGCTGCTCCCAGCGCAGGTCGTGGTCAGGCAGGTCCGAAGTGAGATGGCTTGCAGGCAGATCCTCCCTTGGCCCCATCTAGCTGGCAGGATGGGCTGAGGACTGCGTCAACAACAGTCAAACCTGGGCCAAGCCAGCCTGCAGCCAGCACCCTGCAGCGCTCCCCGTGCTGGCTACCTGGGGGGGGCACTGTCCCCTGCTGCTGCTGGCCTGCAGCGATGCCTGGGAAACCCCTCTTCTTCCTCTGCTGCAGCAGAGGAGCGCTGGGACAGCTCTGCCACCACCGCCCCACGGCAGGCATTCAGCCTTGGACGCGTGCTCCTGCCTGGGGATGAGCCCCATGCCCGCCTTGATTCCTGGGCTGCTTTTGCATTCCATGCCAAAACACAAAGAGGATTTGGAAAGGCGTCTGCAGCACATGCCGCTTGGCCAGTTACCACCTTCAGCAAGAAAAAAACACAGGAGCCATATTTTGCCATCTCAGTGATCTCGGAGCATCTCGGGCCAGCCCAGCCCCGCAGAACTCTGCAGGTCCACCCAGGACAGGAGGAACCCGTGCACTCAGACCACGCACTGGGCTTTAGGACAATGTGAAATCTTCTGCTTGTCTCTAAATACCAGATAGAAATCCTGGGAGCCTGGAGCAAGGGACACTTGTGCTCATAACCAGTGCTATTGAACATCTTTGTCTGCGACATGGACAGAGGGATCGAGTGCACCCTCAGCAAGTTTGCCGATGACACCAAGCTGTGTGGTGTGGTGACACGCTGGAGGGAAGGGATCCATCCAGAGGGACCTGGACAGGCTGGAGAGGTGGGACTGTGCAAACCTCATGGAGTTCAACAAGGGCAAGCGCAAGGTCCTGCATGTGGGTCGGGGCAATCCCAAGCACAGACACAGGCTGGGAGGGGAATGGACTGAGAGCAGCCCTGAGGAGAAGGACTTGGGGGTGTCTGTAGATGAGAAGCTGAACATGAGCCGGCAGTGTGCGCTGGCAGCCCAGAAACCAACCGTGTCCTGGGCTGCGTCAAAAGGAGTGTGAGCAGCAGGGCGAGGGAGGGGATTCTCCCCCTGTGCTCTCATGAGACCCCACCTGCAGTGGGGTCATTTTCAGAAACCCCACAGGGTCAAGCGATGGGTTGACTGACAGTCCTGTAGAAAACAAGATCCAAAAACCTGTGACAAGAAAACATAAAAAGAGACTCTCCAGATGAAAAGAATGGAAGGAGAAGCAGAATAGAATAGAATTAATATATTTTGTATAAAAGAAATTATTGCTCTTCCACTTAAACAGACATGCTTTGCCTGTGGGAACAAGGCCATGTGTGCAGCAGGGCCGCAGGTCCACTCGTCTCTGTGTCTCTGGTGGGACTAGACAGTTACAGACACACACCAGGGAAGGGGGGAGCAGGGCTCTGCTGCAGCAGGTCAGCAGCCAGCCCCACTGGGGTGATTTTACAGGTGCTGCAGCCCACCCCAGCACCTGTGCACTCAGCCCCCACCCTCCGTTGCCGCTCAGCCTCCCAGAGGGTACCAGAAATAGCTCGGGTAAGTTCAGGATGGCAAACTCAGATTTTGACCTCTCATAAAGAGGGCTGCTGGGACGCTTCAGCTCTTCAGGCTGCAAGTCCAGCATCACAGGTAGGTATCACAGTGTGCAGCAGGAACCTGTGCTCGTGCTTGCAGGTGTGTTAAGGAGAGTTGCAGAGCATATGAAGTGCATTGCTGGGGGAAGTGAAACCACTGGCAAAGCAATTCCTGGGGAAACTGTTGCAAACACTCTCCTTTCACTTGTTTGAAAGTTTGACCTCAACTTGCTTCTCCTTTATCCATCTCTTAAATTTTTACTGAAGAAGAAGCAATTGCAAACCTTTTCCATCCCCTCGCCCTCCCCCATGACTGAAGATACCCAGTTCCTTCTCCACCTCCAGCCTCTGTCACTGGATGTGGTTTCCAGTAAAATGAATTCCTCAAGTTCCTGGTGCCCTTCCTGCAGCCAGCCGGGCTCTCTGCGAGAGGAGGCAGCCCGAGCACGCAGCACCGCAGCGGGAGAGCTGGCTCAGCACCCGGGGAGAGGAGCCAGCACCAAAATACCCCCAGCAGCTGCTGCGTACAGCGGGGCTATTAGAAGGCTGCAGCTGCTCCTCTCTAGTGAGGAGAAGAGCCAATGCCACAAAGAAAAGCATGGCAAGAGGGTGGAAAAAGCAGAAAGAGAGCCTGTCCTGCGTGACCGGGGCAAGGAGAGCAGCTGCCGTGGTGCGCGTGCCCTCCCTGTGCAGCCCAGCTGCGGGCTCTGCCGGGCATTTCCACCCCTGCCCAGCCTGGGCTCACACACGGCCCCTGAGCGAGGCCGGGCTCTTCCCAGCTCGCTCTTCCCCCCGGCTGAACCAGGAATGGGTGCTTGCATTGTGCCAGAGCCCCGCTGCCTGGGGAGGGGAGCGTGCGGGGTGCTGGCAGTGCCACACGAGCCCCCACGGGTCCCCTGGCTCTGCTGCAAAGGCACCAGGTCTGAGCACCCCTGCTTCTCTTCCTACCACTGCAGGAACAGGAGGGAGCTGGGGGGGTTCAGTCTGGAGAAGAGGAGGCTGAGAGGAGACCTCATTACAGCTGCCTGAAAGGAGGGTGCAGTGAGGGGGGTGCTGGGCTCTGCTCTAGAGTGACAAGTGATAGGACAAGAGGAAATGGCCTCAAGTTGCACCAGGGGAGGTTTAGGCTGGAGATTAGAAAAAATTTCTTCACTGCAAGAGTGCTCAGGCATTGGCACAGGCTGCCCAGGGCAGTGGTGGAGTCACCATCCCTGGAGGGGGTCAAGAAACGTGTAGATGTGGTGCTTCGGGACATGGGTTAGTGGGTTGACAGTTGGACTTGATGATCCTTGAGGTCTTTTCCAACCTTAATGATTCTATGAAGCTCCGCACTACCAGACTGTAAAAGACCCTCAGCTCTATTTTCCTCTTGTCCTCATTTTCCTTAGGTGGAGGTGTTATGAACCAAGCTGTGCCCCTGCCTCATCTCCTCCTCCAGCAGGACTGAGGACCTCAGCAGCAATTTGGGGCTCCTGCCCTGCTCCTGGGACACACTAAAGTTCTCCTTCATCTACTGTAGAGAGCCACATGAGCTGATTTTTGACTGGCCTGGAGACATCCAGGCGGGTCCAATCCCGCATCCCTAGGCTCCGGTGTGCAGTCCTGGTGTGGCAAAGCCAGGTGGTGGAGAACCGCAGCAGGCCAGACTTTGGGGACCACTTTGCTCCCTGTAGGATGCTGAGGTGGAGAAGAGCACCCTGAAGCTGGAGGTGAGATGGGGTGTGAGCTCAGGAGACATAAAGAAGGGTGCCTTGACCAGAAAAGAAATGTGTGATGGCTTCTGGAGGTGTGTCCTTCTCCCACCCCTCCGAGGAACACAGAGGGTTTAGTCAGCAGGCTCTCTCAGAGTCCAGGCAGCCGGGAGGTTGGCTCTCTGGCATCACAAAGATTGCCAGTTGCCATCAGCAGCAGCCAGAAGGGTCAGAAAGCACAGAGCCCCTTTAGCTTTTAGTTTCATAAAACACTTCAGCTTTCAAAGAGGAGGCCTGCTAATCTCTTGGGCATTTT